TACCTTTGAAATGAACTGAAAACTTTTTTCTAAATCAGTTTTCAACGCTGATTCAGAAAAAAATAGTTTCAACCTTCCATCTTGTAATAAAACTTCAAAAAGATCAATTCTACGATAAAGGTCATTTTTTTCGATTTTTTAGACCTCTGCAGTATTCCAGGTTTTTCTCCGTGAAAAAAGGACTTTTAAAGATTTTAAAGGTGATATTCGTGATCAGCTGCACAAGACGAATCAGAATATGTATGACAAATTGAAAAATAAAACCCATTTGAATTTTGCATTAGCTGCACCTTACCTATAATGGAACAAAATGTAATTGCTTACAGTTCTAATTTTAGAACAATGTTCAAATGAGAATTCGTGTGCATTTTCTCAACCGTGTTGCAGTATCGACTATGATACTAGACAAATTGACTGTATCAATCTCAAACTATTATCATCAATACCAAATTGTGAAAATTTTAATCTAATATATGATTTACACATAATCAATAGTACAAATTTTATTGCTGATACAATTCCAAATCATCTGTATCATATAAAAAATATCATATTCGATAATGTACAATTTCAAAATGTTCACAGAATGTTATTTCGAAAAATGAAAATACAATCATTAATGTTAACATACGTTAAATTAGATAAATCCTATTTTCTTCGTTTAATTTTAAAATACATTTCATTTACTTTACAGACATTAATTTTAAAAAATGTTTCTAATTTATCTGGTAACATCGATAAAGATATTGGATATTTATCTCAACTACGTTATTTACGTTTTGAATCAACATTGATTGGTTATTTTTATCGTTCATCACTTCAACTCTATCCAAAATTAAAAATGTTAGATATCTATGGTAATTCTATCTTATGTAATTGTTCACATGATTGGTTAAAAATACTTGCTAAAGAAACCGTTCTAGATTTAAATTTATTGACAACAGTGAATATGACAAGATTGCAACGTTCATTAAATTTATTTAAAAAACAGAGTGATGCTTGGCAATTGGATTATTCTTTACGTGTTACTGGTTCGTGTTATAATAAACTCTTTCCTCAACGACATTATTCATTAGCTAGACTACCATTGTGTTTAAAATGTTCAAGTCAATTATGTCATCCACAAGCAATATGTTCAAATCAAAATAAAACATTTTCATGTACATGCAAAGATAATATGATAAAAACAATGGATAATGCTTGTATAAAATATTAATTGATATTATAAAAGTAAATATAGACAAGTATTATAAATCACTGCGTTTTTATCTATCATGTTTATTAAAAAGATACTCTCTTACAAAGAGTATTAAAGAGAGTATAGATTTTTTTACGTATGTTTTCTAAAGGTAAATTGCAAAACAAGATATTCATTCTAAGCTAATCCAAAGAAACGGTGTGTTGACACTGATACTCAAAGTCGAGGATTTTGACTCATTAAAAACTCCTTAAAGGTTCATTTTAATAGAATTTAATTCTCTACATAACCGCAATGTTAAGTTCTGACTAATTATTTTAGCATAATAAGCTTGCTGATTTTTCACATCAAAACATTCAGAATGTGATTTCCTACACAAAATAGGGCCCTTTAGAATAAAAAGGGATAGTCTGATGTTTTCGTCGTATTTTTGCAATTATTCATAAGGAATCCTTTCAATATGATACAAAACTTCTTTAATTAAAGCTGTTTTTTCTGGGGTTATTCTTGACACTGATCACAGGCCTGATGTCCGTTTGGGGGTCTTATTGAATTTCTGGATGGAATTTTGGAGATCTGGTCTGTACAGATCTAGTACGAATGTGCGAATTAAGAGATTTTGATATGAACAGTTTATAAACATCATCAAGTCGTCTCTTAGAGTTACCGAATAAGTTTTAATTGAGTTATGAAGGTATTAATCTCAAGTGCAATGAAATATCTGACTTTGTCATATTTTTTTATTTTACTGTAAACAGTTTGCTGTTTATAGTTCGTCAAAAAGTTAAGAACATAGTGTTTTTTAGCGGCTAAACTTTCGACAAACAAATGGAAAAAGTATGTTTTAACCGGGAATCGAGTCCATTGAGACCAACACTTTAACAGCTCAGCTATCGAGATAGTCTTTGACATGCTCTTTCGAATGAAGAATTTTATTTATCGAAAGTTTAGCCATTAAAAAGCTGTTCTTAACTCATAGTAAAAGTTCTTGTCCACTCTTAAATTGGATTTGATTAATAAAATAAAATTTTTTTAAACAGTTTTTGTAAACAGTTCTTATAGAATTCCCTCTCCAGAATGAGAAGCCCTACGGTCTTAGATTTGGACCAGGCAAAAAGATGCCGACACACTATTATCCAAGCAGCGCATTTTAATGTTAATAGGAAACCAGGAGACTGTTTTTGTGTTAACTTGAAATTTCGGCATCAGTGAAGAACGTATGACTAGATCGTCCAAAAGCAAGTTTTTCTAACTTAAATCAATTGCGAACTCGCAAAAGTACAACGAAAATTTCAGAAAGTATCTCTTGTTACTCTTAAGTATTGCATAAGTTAGAGATGAAAATATTGTATTTTTCTTCTATGATGATGAAAAAACAATTGATAAGTACAGCAGACAGGTACAAAGTGCTGGAAATCTCATTTTTTGCGTCCTATTATTATTATACAAAACATTGTATCTAAATTTCTTTAAAGTACGTCAAAATTACTTTTAGTATGAATAAAATCAGACATTTATCTGATAGTGTGTACTACTGTAAGAATTAAGTTCTCGACTGAATGAGTAATATCCACTAGTTTTACACAGTAAATAATTTGGATTAGTGCTCCATTTTTTATGCTGCTTCATCGATTAGACAGAAATGATAATACTTCACTATTCATTAAGAAGTTTTACATTGGTCAGCCTACCCGAGAAATTGCTCTAACAAGATTTTTTCATGGGTTAATATCTTATCGTTGCAATGAACAAATTTAGAATAAAATATATTGACTATTTCTTGTATTATCTGAGGATTAAATGGTGTTAAACTGTAACTAGTTGTGTGTGTATGTGATAAAATCGTTTTGTGTTCATACAATTTCAGTAATCATAGATTAATCAAGTGTATATTGACACATTTATCGTTTTTCTTTGTAACCTAAAACACTGTGCAATCTTTTTGTTCATTGTTTACATAAAATAATAGAACATATTTTTTTAAACAAAAGTACACACATATTGTAAAGCTTTTGTCAAACATCATTGTACAATTTTTATTTATCTATCATTTATTCTGTTTTATATGAAATAAAACTGTTTTCGTTGTTATGAATCATCTTAGAGATATCAATCTGATTCTTTTTTTCTCACTCTCTAATCGATTAACGTGAGAGTATTGCATCTACAAATGTCCAATTGTCTTTTTCACCTTCAACAACTGTTAAACTTAAATAATTAATTTTTTGACTTATTGTCGTTAATTCATAGGGTCTCGGTTCTGCACCTACTAATTTTCTTGTAAGAGTTTCTAGTGATGGAGCATGACCAACAAATAAAATTGTCAATTCTTCTGATAAATGACGACTAAGAATTTTTTTCATTACATGATAACTACGTAAATAATATGATAATTCATCTTCATTTGTTGTTAAACATTTCATAACACTATCATAGGATATTTCAATATTAAATCGATTTAATACTAATTCATTTATGGGCATAAATATTGGTGGAAAATTTTTATGCCATAAACCACATTCAAATAATCCTAATTCAACTCGAATAGGAATAGTTGTTCGTAATTTCATACCATCTAACATAGAATTTGCCGTTTGAATACATCTTAATGCTGGACTACTATAACAATAATCAATTTTATTTAAACCTGCTCGATGAAGTGCTTCACCTATATAAAATATTGAAATTAATTATTAAAATAACAAATAGAAATGGATATTTTCTTCTTGGTTTTTTACCTGTTCGATATGATCTCATTAAACCAATTTCAGTGAGAGGTGGATCAAATAAATAATCATTCAAATTATTTCTATGTGGTAGTGATGAGGGAAGATTTGGATCATAACGAATATAATTTCCAACTTGATCAAATGCTTTTGATAGCCAATTATCTCCAAATATTGCGTCAACTCGTTCTCCATGCCTAATTATAATTAATTTTGTTTGTGCTCGTCTTTTAGGAACAACATTATTAAGTGGATGTTTTGGTATTCGAAAATCATTCGATAGTTTTTCAGATGGACTATTATTATCATCGGCTTTATTTGTATTGATACCACATGTTAAACAGGATGCTGATTTAATAGCTTCAATTGATTTATTTCTACGTGATGTTGATGATTTTGATAATGAATGTGAACGATGTACTGTTTCATTTGTTCGAAGATTTGTCGTTAAACCGACGACAACAATTGATGATGATGATGAATCTTTGATTGTCGTAGCATCACGTATAGTTGAATGATGATATTTAGTTCGATTTTTTGGTGTGGCTAAATTTTGATGATCAATAACCAATTTTGAATTATCAACATTATCCACTTGTCCAAGAAAACGTCCTAATAACCTTTGAAATGTAAACATTATTTCAAATATATCTAATTACATTTTTAATGATAAGTACATAGATCATAGTACTTAGTTTTCTAATAAAAAGTCATTAATTATAAATTGCTTGCTATCCTTAAATAAAATAAGAATATATACACGTAAATATTTATATTGTTATACAAAAACAATCACAAAAAACGTCTTTACAATTCTTAAGATAGTTTTGAATAATTACTTTTATCAATTTTCACTTTAATAATCTACATTTGATCATAATTTTCTTTCGATGGGATAATTATCAAATGAAAAATATAAACTGAATTTCTCAAAAATATCAACAATACAGAAGAGTGAAAACAAAATTAATCGTTATTTATGTATTAGTACAATCATAAAATCGTTGTTTTTAAACTATGTACAAATGGATAATTTTTTTGTTATCATATTGCTCAAAAAGACAAATATGTGAGTTTAGTATACAAAAACACTTCTTATTTTGCCATTTGAATAAACTTCGAATGCAAATATGTATTGCATGTACACAAAAAATTATAATTGAAATAAAAAAAACATTTATGACTGCATCTTGGAGCTAATAGTTTAATGTTTTATAGGTATTAAGCACACAGATACCACATACAATTTGATGTTAAAACATACTTTTCTCTTTTCTCTATTTTTGTTAAGTACGAATGAATATAATCATTTTTGAAGGTTATAATTCATTCATACACTCAAAATTTGTTCTCTACAATGACCTGATATACTAGATAGATGAACATGAAGCAAATAAAAGATAAAGCGTTGTATCAAACACAAAAAAATATATGTGATAGTGTTTTAGATAAGTGAATACCATTGTTACTAGTAATGGTTATAATATCCGAAGAAAAATATGAAGTTGAAAGATTCAAACTATGAGTTATGTTTTGTATAATTCTCAAAGATATTTCGCACCACAAATAATCGATTAACATCGAGAAATTCTCTTAATCTTTTACCCAACTTTCCGAATTTCCACAGATGTGGACATTGGTGAGTATCGGAGACGCGTTATAAAAAGGTGACGATGTATTGTATACAAAAAACAAATTTTTGTCTAGCGTAATCACTGTAAGGTAGCAATTGCTAATAAGAAATATTTGTTTTATCAAGTCTAAACAAAGGTATAAAAATGTCAAGTTCGATTTTCATAATCAGTTATTAGGGCTAACTGATTAAACAGCTGACCGCGCGTACGTAACTTTTGTATTATTCATTAAAATTTGATAAAAATATTTTTAAGAAACACATTTAAGTTCTAAAGAGATACATTAAAACTCACACGAAAAATTGTACTACCACTAATCGAAGTAAAATACACAGTAAAATATTATTATTAGAGTGAAAATGAGTCTTACTGGTATTTTCTTACTTTATTCGATGAATTATACTGCGATTAGGAAAGTATCGAAAACTGATAATAATTTTGGAACAAAATCTTCACTCGAATACTACAAATGATATCAATTTTTTTTTCAAAAAATCCTGAAAAGTACTTTATTCAAATCGTTTTTCCCTTGTGGTTTATTTTGATTGAAACAGAAAAAGATTCCATTCATTCATCAATTCGTGTATTCCAATCCCAAACTCAACTATATCAAAGACAATAATTTGATCATATAAAAAAACTGAAACACGATCTTACTGATGATAATATTGTATATCTAATACAAGACTTTTTTTCGTTTGTCGACACGAATTGACCTCCTGAAAAGTATCAAATAGAATAAAAGACTCAAAAAAAATGTTTGACAGTTTTTACAAAAATCTATGTTTAGATCACTTTGCAGATAAACTTCTTTGATACCAAACTAACGAGTTTTACAATCTATATTCTCGAATTCGATGTATGATCAGGTTTATTGTATACAAACGTTTTTCCGCAGAGAAATTCTATTTTATCAATACAGAAGAGACTAAAATGTCGAAAAAAATCTTCTGATGGTGGGAGCCGCTAACCTGACAACTAAATACTTTTGAACAATAAGAAATTAAGCCATATCTTTTCTACGTCATACCCATCCACACAGAAAATTCAAGTCAAATCTAAAGAGTTCACGAGTGATTTGGTGTTCACATAGACTTTATCATCTATTTTTATTAAATCTTTACACGTCACTCACTATACCTGTTCATTAACGTAAAATAATTGTGTCCGAGATATTTACAAGTATCGACACATCGATGGAGATGTATAAATGATCGTGGCCATATAGACAGAGAGAAAAAAGATCAGTGTTCATTAAATGAAAAATACCGTTTTGAATTCTTTTCTTTTCGTTTCTTTCGTGGATGAACAGGTAAACTGTATTTTCTCTTTTTCTTCTATCAGAAAACAACACATCTTCTTTGGTCAAAGAAATGAAAGGTTGTTTGTGTCGGTGATAATTTTTATTTTCCTGTATATATATATGTGTGTGTATACCCGCGCTTATTTCAGAATTCTATTTTTTAACCGTATGCATACAGCGAAAGGTACACAACATACTGACATAGTTCATATACGACTCTAATATGTAAATATGTATAAAAATCATTTATATACTCATATGAATGTTAACAACTTTATTACGATCGAAAAGACGAGTATTGGTGCCAAATTTCAATTTATGAACTATATAATAAAAATATCATTGAGGGGAACATATAAGAAGGTTCAAAGAGAAATTATCTTGTGAATATCGTCTCACGGCATCGTCCTATGACACGCCATTAAGTATTGAAAAGAGATGAAAGAGTACATGATTTGTCGAATATGAGTACAAAAATGATTTTACTTTAGTAATGTGTTCAAAAAAGCCAAGTTTTGATTTTCAGCAACGAAAAGTTTGTGTATGAAATTTATTGGATTTATTGGATCGAGTTTATTGGATTGAAATCGAGTACCCGAATACTTTTTCATATTATCACTACAAAAAATCACAAGTTTCGATACGGCAAAAGTTGTACTTAAGTGCAAGTAAATACTGGTATCGAACCAAGTTAGAGTACAGAAGTAGAAAATCAACTTCCTTCAAAGAACGGTTTCCATTAGTTAACGCTATTATTCGCATATTCTGTATCTACATCAAATTTCACGCATATTACAGCACAAAACGCATTCAATATCCAAAATCGAGTTTTTATCAGTATGATTTTCTCCCTCATTTAAAAAGCTTTTCAATTGTATTACGTACCGACATATAGTCCAAACTCTATTATTTCAATTGCTGCTTTTCAAGCGAGATAAATAAATGAACATAGAATAAAAGTAGAACAAAGTAATAAGGTTGGTAAGCGCTCCCTCACACATGAATCAGCACTGATCTTCTTTAGAAAAGTAAAATAATCTTCAAATATATGAGTCGTACAGATCTTGTTCATATATTCTTAAAGGTTTTTGGTCTCAAAGACTGGATGAGTATACATTAGTGCATATGTTGCATATTCATACACTTACCTGCAATAGATCTGTTTTTTGCTGAAAGCATAACACTTTTTTGGCCATTTTTCTCCGGTTTGCAGAGATCTTCCTGAAAAGCTTTCAGATCACAATATTTAGAGCATAAAATTTATAAGATTCGAAAGAAGGCAGTTTGAAAGAAGGGACCATTATATCCAGATCAGATCTAAGTCAGGTCCGACGGCTTAGAACTGGGATTCGTCTTTACTAAACCTTAGCGTAGATTTAAGGTCCAAACTGAAACATAATGTAAATAATTTCGGTTGGTGTCCAACTTGGATACATGGGATGTAAAAAAAAAGTTACTGGTAGAATTCACTAGACAGAATATTAAAACCTTACTCATTTTATGTACCATCCCGGAAAAGAATATAAAATGCTAACACATGAAGTCAAGACTTTATTGTTGGTTCATTTCAGCTCATTAATATAATACTCACATTCTGAGCATTTTTCTTTCTACATAATGATTAGTATCAAACCATTTGGAATTATTTGGATAAAGTTTAAAAGTTCATTCCGGTCCGGATTCTTGTCCACGTCATCGATTTAAGTTCAAGTACGCGGCCACGTCTACCTCTAACCTGCTAATCTTTGAGAACTAGAATGAACCGTTGCAGAATAAAAACATAGAGGCTTTTTGACACGTTTAGATTTGGATATGGGGAGAGATATAAGGAATTAAGTACTGAATTTAAACAAAATTCGTGATCAAGATCGGCCTATTTTTTCATGAAAGAAACTGCTATCCGTTTCAAAATAGAGTGTACGTGGATGTTTTTTGCATAGTTTTTGATAGAAACAAGCAGTTTTCAGCATTCTGTGGAGGACACTGGGGACACATCGAACTATGGAAGAATCAAGGTCGGATACCAGATCTACTACGGTGTATCCTTCGGGTGGTTATAGAATTTACAAGAAAAGCCCTAAATGTTCGTTGTCAGCTCAAAGCTACAGAAATAAGAAGAAATTAATTTCGAGCTTTTCTTGTAAACTCTATGGCTTTGTAAAGAAATGCCGTGTAGAGCTGGTAGATGTCTTATTTTAATCAGAAATGTGCGGGCTACAATTATGTCTCATTAGGAAAGGTTTTGATTATTTTTTAGAGTTTCTCAGAAACTCAAAAAAAATTTTCCATGGTTCGGATGCTATAAGGTTTCGCGAGCACCTGTCTATCGGCTAAACTTTAGGTCTGGAAACTTCCGAAGGATATAGAGGTAGGAAACGAGTCCAGAGGCGGACTACATAGTAGGCACTTTCTGTATAGCAGGTGGACATGATTACGAAGCATATTCGACAACCTCAACAACTTTTTTCGCGTATTCAAACATGGTTTATCGAACAGCCGACTCAGAATTTTTTTCTGGCAAAAAGTGTTTTTTCTTGAATTTGGACTCCTGGAAGATCTCCGGCGAAATTTTTTCGATACTAACTTTTTATTTAGAAATATGTTGTCACATAGTTCTATGCAGTTGTTTTGCGCTGATTTCGACGAACCCAGAGATTTAGAATAAAAAATTGTACGCCGTTGAATAGAGCATAGCTTAGA